TGACAATAAAAAAGCATTAGAATGAGACCTTTACACTGAGAACGACCTTAGGAACCTTTTGGAACAACTTGCTTAGTTTACAGATGAGGAAGTTGAGACTCAAAGTTAAATAGTCAAAAGGTAGCACAGTTGATTATGGATTCCTCACGACTCGTTTCGGAAATATTTCTATTAGTTTATCCTATTTTTTATTTCCCATGGAATTAGGTGATTATTTGGGTAAAATCTTAAAAAGAGTGAGGATCTTTCTAAAAATTCTGAACCTAAACCAGTGTATTCAATATTATACTTCTTTTTAAAAAATTAAGATCTTATTTTGTTTTATATTGAGATATTTTGGCTACTTAAAGAGCTGAAATATCTGTAGTACACTGTAGTACCTCGGGTATTATTATTCAGAATTATTTGTTCCCAAAACCTTTGGATGTGACTTACAATGGTTCCCTATAGGAAGAGCAGCTTTGCTGACCAATGACTGGGTTTAGCCACGTGACTTGCTTGGTCAACACAATGCAAACAGACTTGATGAACTTTTCAGTGCATTTCACAATGCTGCCAGTTCTCTTGCTTTAATGCCCTCTGCCACTAGAAGGGCATATCCCAGGTAGGGCCTTCTCTTTCAGCCTGGGGCCTGAATAGAGTAAACCTGAACCTGAATCACATCCTGAAGTGCAGCCACAGCAATTAACCCACAGCAGCCAACAAGCCACACAATGAAAAATACATGTTGTTGAAAGCTACTGAAACAATGGAGGTAGTCTGTTACCCATTGTACTCTAATAAAAGCTAATACATACAAGCTCCCAAATCTGGATCAAGTCTGGTACCTGAAACAGACAGATTATCAAAAGTAAAAATTCCGAGGTTTTCTGACCAAGAATCTTTGTTACAAAATGGGTAAATATCTTATTAATGTGCCTGCAAATACATTAGTGATAGAATGTTTTTATACGGTTTAGAGCTTGGTATATGATAGGTTCATATCTGAATTATGGTCATTTTTGTTTGGAAAATAGGTGTAATGAATCTACACGACAATTTCATAATGTAAAATTGCACCAACATGCACAAAGGAAATGTCACAATTTATCTGGGGATATAATTTTCAAAGCCATGGAAATACAGGGAAACTCTTTAAAAAAATTATAATCCCATAAACACACAATGCTCTTATCAATTTATATGATTTATGTCAGATTTACATCAGCAAAATAATTTGCTTATAAAATTTTTCAAAGCTTTTATATGCTTAATTTTCCTAGATTATTATTGTTTAGAACATTTCTTTTAATTTTATTCTTGTAATGTATTTGATGGCAAATAGGAATTTCATAGATTTTGAAGGATCATTTAACTACATGTAATGCTATAGCTTATTATGACTATTTTTCAGAAATTATGGGATCAATGTTTAATAACTTTATCTGGCAGAGGGGACCTGGAGCCAGTTCATATCATCTCAAAAGAGCAAAGTATGTGTGTCTCATTCCAACTCAGCATTAAGTGACTTCACATTGATAGCTTGAAATCAGCCAGATGGGAGTATTACATGACAAAAATTGGGAAGCACTACAAATTGGAGCTTTTTTTTCTCCCAAGAGTTGGTAGCTAACCACTTATCAGTGTACCACTAGGCTTAAGAAATTCCCCTTCTTTGACACTTGGCATTTTAATGTTTAAAATATTTTTTTAATCGCCCAGATGTTTATGAGGGGAGACTTAAGGTTATGGAGAACTGAAGCTAGTGGCTTGCTACACAGGTTTATAAGGGCTGAAGGCACTGAGGAACGTGGCCTGATGATGCTCCAGGAGCACTCTCCATTCATACTCTAGGCCCTGGTAAAATGGATGCACCTAGAGCAGGAAATGAAAAAGACTCTTGATTTTGCAAGGAGTGTATATAGATCGTAAAGCGGAAGGCACTTTGAAAGACAAAGGCAGAACAGTCCTCAATCTACGTGTTTCTCTTTTCTGTGCACATGTCCAGACATACCCTGCTGACAGTGAAGATAACATATAATAGGGACACATCTTGTAAATTCTTTCAATTTGACAAATATTTCTGATTATTAGGACTTAAGAACATTTATTTTAGATTTTACTGGATGGAGTTATTTTTATGACTTTCAAATGAAGTTACTAGGGCTTCAACAATATTGACTCTATTTGGGGTATCTGTCAGCAAAAAACATATCAAGTAAGAAGAATGGTGTGTCAGAATTTATGTTAGTATTAACAATTCTCTTGCCTTGGTTGTTGTAATCTTAGCAGCAATTTATAAATATGCTATAGAAAGCGTTGCAGAAATATAACTTCCCACTAAAAAAAAAAGTTTAACAAAATTAGCATATATTTACTGGAGAAGCTGAAATAAGTATATGTAGGTGTGTATATATACATGTATGTATATATACATGTATGTATACATGTGTGTATACAGGTGTGTATATATACATGTATGTATACATATGTATGACTATACATATAATAGGGTATTTATTTGTAAAGAAATGATTCTCATGATAAACTACCCCTTTTCCTTCATTCTCAGACTTCAGCAAAACAGATGCTAGCAGTGAATTTTTACTATACTTTTTTACAAAAGTTACATAAACATTTTTAAAATAGTCACTTATCAGAAGTTAATCTAAAATTTCTACTTTTTTCTATTACTATATAATGGATGGTTAAAATAGTTTATGGACCAGCACAACATGTAAATATTAATTAAAGCACTTGACAGTTAAATCCTACATACAAATATTCAAATTAAAATCATCAACTGGAACAGCAGGCCCTTAAGGTATTCCCAATTACTAGACTACGAGTTGTATTTCACAGAATTTTATGATACTAGAAGTAAATGAATGTTCTAAAACTATAATACATTAATAAAAAATGGACTTAGAAATTATGGGTCAAAATAAAAAGTAATCACGCTCAAAAATATTTTTAAAATCACATCACCAAAATATTAGTAACTTCCAAGGATTCCTCTTAATAAATAAAAAATACTTTTAAAAGAAACAAAATTACAATGCATAATCTTTAATGAGAAGGTTAAAAGTGACCTTAGTGAATACTTTTCATAATACATCCTACAATGCTGTTAGTGGCATTTTCCAAACCGTGCTCTGAAAAACTAATTTCTAAGAGAAGTTGATAGGTATTCACAGAAGTCTGGCAAACAGTACAAATCTTAACTCACCTTCACAGTGTCTGTCCATTAGCCTTTTAAAGTCCCTGAAGTTCAGCAGTAAAGAAACCTAAATGTCTTGATACATAACCATTTTGGGAAATTGTACTGTGGTTGTTTGTATGCCTTTTCTATACCCAGCACCCTTACCTCAATCTGTGCCTAGCTCAAAGCTATCAATGTATTTTTGTTGTCAATATATATTGACTAAACAGTGTCATTCATTCCATCCTAGCTCACCAAAAGTAGTTTGGGGCTAAGAACTGTGGAACAACAGAAGAATTATAGTAATGAAGGGATTGGTTTCTACAAAAGGCCAATACATGATGCTCTGGGAGTAAAAGGAGGAAAACGCTGTATCAAATTTTCGTTTAAGTAGCAAATCAAACTTTTAAGTAAATCTTAATTTGGAGGAATGATTGAGAAGGTAGAAATAAATAACAGTGTGAACTCAGTTTAGAATGTAGTTGCAGACTCCTGTAATCTCAGGGTTTAAAATGCACCCAAATTGATGTCATTTCACAGCATGTGGATGGATTGTTAAGAGTTCTGTACACAGGCGATGGCTCCTCATCTAGGCTGATAATTTCATAGGGGCTGTGACACAAACCTATTTTCCCAAACCTTCCGTTATGTTCAGTGGTGTCCTGAAATGATCAATTTTGAAAGTGAACTAAAGAGATACTCAAACTTATTTTACTAAAGTACAGAATACAAACAACAGAAATCATTAGATATTGAACAGCATTTTTATGTAAATAAAATTAAAATATCTCAGTTGTCTGTACAGACAACTTCATTTGTAACAGAGACTTGTTTTATCTTTGGTATATTCTACTCTATCTGATATGACTATTGTGCTTTTAAATGTTTTCCTTAAAATTTTTATAACTAATACTTCACTAATTACTTTACCAAATACATAGATTAAAATATCCCTAAATGTCAATTTTAGCAGGACTACCTTTTTCCTTTCAAAATGTAGTCAAATATACCTTTAACAGTATTTATATGTACAAAATTTAAGCCAAATACTCAAGCTTACAGGCACAGACCTTGAGTACACTTACTGCTGTGCCAGAGGAGTAATCTTGGCCCCATCCCTACTTATAAAAAAAATAAAATAAAATCATGATCTTTGATTAAAGCAAATGACTCTTAACAGAATGTGAGCTATTGCCAAAAAATCACTCTAACAGCTATGGTTTTATACTCACAGCCTAGGCTTCTAGTAGTATGTTGTCAATAAAAGGAAATGAGGTGATGATTGGCAGTTAATGGTCACTGACAAGATTTTAAGGGTAGTTATAAAGTTTCTCGGAAGTATCAATATCAAATGAGCTAAAGGGAGAAAAGTAGATGCAGCACTGATGTGTCAAAAATGACTTTGAAAGTGAAATTTTTGATGTGTCTGTAACAGGTATCCTTTACTAGCTGAAAGAAACAAATGAAAAGCCAAACATTCACTATTAACATACATGGGGCCGGACACAGTGGCTTATGCCTGTAATTTCAGCACTACAGGAGGCCAAGGTGGGACAATTACTTGAGCTCAGGAGTTCAAGACCAACACAGGCAACATGGCAAGACTGTGTCTCTATAAAAAATTTAAAAATTAGCCAGGCGTGGTGGTGTCTGTAGTCCCAGGTACTCAGGAGGCCGAGAGGGAGGATTGCTTCAGCCTGGGAGATTGAGGCTGCAGTAAGCTGAGATCATGCCACTGTACTCCAGCCTGGGGCAACAGAGACCCTGTCTCACATATGTAATACACACACATACATACATACATATATACATACATATGTGGTAGCCAAGTGTAATTTTTACTGACTCTTTGGTTAGTGTCATTACACTTGCACATATGAGTTTTTAGTCTTCAGTTAATTCCTGGGAAATGCCAAAAAATAAAAATACTGCCACAGAGAAATTAGTTTTTCTTTTCTACATATTGGCTCAAAATTAAGCACCTGAATATTAATTGTCTACATTTTGTACTTTTAAGATCTTATTTCAAAACAATTTACATTGAGAGGATTATTTATGTTTTTAAACAGGATCAGGGATATCTTTATTTTTAGACTCTGGGAAGATAATTTACCTGAGCAAAATGCAAAGATAAATAATTATACAAAAATTTAAGTCAGTTGTCAAAACTAACAATGCGTCATCTGGCTTCAAAATTTAATGAACAGAGAGTCTACATAAATATCTTTCTTGTCTACATATCTTTCTTGTTATGGTAAACACTTTGTTTTTTCTAACAAAACACTGCTCTTCATTTTAAAACCTAAACGGCAAAATGAGAAAGGTAACAGCGGATTAACAGGTTTGAATGTGGTTTATAAAATTTGGAACTGGCAAGCATGGATTAACTGACTCGAAAATACTCTGGAATAGGGGTCACAGATTTGGTCCACAGGCCAAATCCAGCCAGCTCATAAGAATAGTTTTACATTTTCTAATGGCTGAAAAAAATCTAATGGCTAACAGAGTAGTATTTTGTAACACAAGGAATTATGTAAAATTCAACTTTCAGTGCTCATGAAATTTTATCGGAACACGGCCACACTCATTCGTTTAGGTATTGTCTATGATTGCTTTCACAATAGAATGGCAGAGTTGAATAAGTGCAAAAGAGGCTTATGTGGTGCTGTCATCATTTTGCACTGCTCCTTGGCACACTAAAAATTGCAGTAATGCAGTTACCAACATTTTGAGTGCTACATATATTGTCATACCACAGTATTTTTAAATGTATTACTAGTGCTTACCCATAACATCAAAACAAGAGAAAAAAAGAAAAGTAGACTTGAAGTGACATTTTTAAGGCACATTAGTATATGGATTTTTAAAAATCAGATGACACGTCAGAGTATGATGTTTAATATGCAATGTCATTAGAGCTGTTCTTAAAGAATACTATATAGTGCAGTCAGGGGCGGTGGTTCATGCCTATAATCCAAGCACTTTGGGAGGCCGAGGTGGGTGGATCACTTGAGGTCAGGAGTTCAAGACCAGCCTGGACAACATGGTAAAACCCCATCTCTACTAAAAACACAAAAATTAGCTAGGCGTGGTGGCTTGTGCCTGTAATCTCAGCTACTCGGGAGGCTGAGGCAGGAGAATCACTTGAACCTGCAGGGTGGAGGTTGCAGTGAGCTGAGATCATGCCACTGCACTACAGCCTGGGCAACAGAACAAGATTCAGTCTCAGAAAAAAAAAAAAAAATCAAAAATGAAGATAAAGTCGCAGCCAAAGTGATTCAGTTGTTAACTAAGCAAGGAAAACATTTTACTAACGATGACTAAATTGTGTTTGATTCCATCAGCTGAAGGAACGTGCCCAAAGTAAACTTGCTTAAGACTATTAAATTAGCCTTTTGGCAAGAATGGTTGCTTTAAGAATTGAGAACACTGGGAACAACAGCAACAGTCAATAAAAAAGGCAAATGACCCTGAGTGGTTTTCCTTGGCTCTTGATGAGTCAACAGATGTTACTGATACTGCCTAGTTATTGCTTATTTGATAAGTCAATGCCAATGTTGAAGTGACTGAAATTAGTCTCTATAAATTATCTGTGTGGAACAATTACAAGCATGAATATTTTCTAAGAAGAAAACACAAACTTCATGCAACCTGAAGTAGAATCTGCTAAGATATGTTACAACTGGTGGTGCTAAAATGTGTGAAGCAAAAAGATTTAAGTTTGTCAAATTTTTTAAGCCAGTGAAAAGGTAAGAAGGTATTTAAAATCTATGGTTATTTACTGTATTATTCATCAGCAGATACTTTGTGGGATATATTTGACTCAACTTTGTATTATTGAACTACTAGTATCAATGGTGAACTTCATTTGCTCTCATAGTTTCTGACAGATTAAACACCAATGGTTCAGTTATCTTTTGTCAGATACAGAAGATGAATGTTCCAATTTGCCCAACCACACTGGCATAATAGTGTTAGTTCTATTATGAGCTTTTACGTGCAGGGTTGATATTGACATTTTTCTGAAAAAGAAGACATGTCCTCAACCACTATTATGGAACACTGAATGGCTTTGGAATTTAGCTTTTGCTCAAGACTTAATAAAATTTTGAAATGAATTCAAGCCAAAATTACAAGGCAAAACAAGTGTTTACATGTGAAACATGTCAACAAAAGTCATTTTGATGACAACACTATTTGAATTACAAGTAACAACAAGCTGCTTTACACATTTCCTGTGCTATCAAAAGGTAAGACAACAAAGTGGGATCTCCATTCTCACACAAATTTGTAGCTCACACTATAGTTCCCATTTGGAGTTTGCAAGTGCAAAGGAAATTTCCATTTTTCAAAATCGATTTAACCCAGTGCAGTTGAGAAGCTCCTACCTAATCTTCAATTGGAAGTGATTAAGCTGCAATATAATAACATGCTAAAAGGAAAATATCCAAAGAAGTTACCTTCGAAGTGATGAATATGCTCAACAAAAATTATATTCAGAAGTAAGATACGTAAAATCTTATTACAGATCAGCATTAGCAAGTAAGTACTTATAATCAACTTTAATGACACGAAACATTAACTTTGATCCTCCCCCTAAATAAATTATTTTCATTGGTAAACCCGTATTACAAAAAGATAGTTCTCAATTATTGTTTTGAATTTTGTCAATAAAATTTTTGTGCAAATGTTATTTCTCTCCAGTTATTTAAGTACCTACATAACAATCTCAGTTTTACCTCTTAGCCCACAAAGCCTAAAATATTTACTATCTGGCCCTTTATAGAAAAAGTTTCCTGACCTCTGCCCTAGAGCCAGAAGCTACCCTGAACATTTAAAAGCACAGGTTGAATGCAATGCCTCAGAAGCCAGATGGCCTGGGTTTATATGTTGGCTCTGCCATTAGCAGCTTTAGGATCATGAGTAAATTCTTCAATCTTTTTTTGCTTCAGTTTCCTCATCTGTAAATGGGGGTTAGTAATGGCATTTATCTTACAGGGTTGTTGTGAGAACTGAATTAGTAAATGCAAAGCACAAGAAACAGGGCCAGGCACAAAGGAAGCATTATCCTCATATGACTACTGAACACTTGACATGTAGCTAGTGCAACTGAAACAGTGAAGTCCTACTTGAATTCAATTAAAATTAATAAAATAGCCATATTAGCGGCTATTTTAGTGGCTACAGTATTACCACAGTTCTACAGGATCATGCTAGGGTGTGTGGATGCTGGAATATAACCGTTTTGCACTGAGTAGGACAATAAATTTCGTTATACTACAGTTAATATTAGTTTTCTGTTCAAAACAGCTGTGCCTTTTTGTGCCACAAAATATTTTCTACTTTCTCAGTAGCAGAATTAATTTTTTAACAAAACAATGTATGTTTTTGTATAATTTGTATAATTATATATATATATCCACATTTATGATTTTTTTAATATATAAAGAAAATCCACATATATTCAGAAACCTCAAAACTTTACCTTTTGCAAAATGTTAAGGCATCTGCTTATAGCAGTTGGAAAGCTTTTTTATTTAGTAGTTTACCTCTTATTCTTGATTATACCAAAATTTTTATATTGGCATTATCCAGTAGTGAAATAGACAAAAATATCAGAAGAAAAGTGGAAACACTACAATTTTCTTTAAGAGAAAGGGACTTGCTACATTGCCCAGGTTGGAGTGCAGTGGCTGTTCACAGGTGTAGTCGTAAGTACACTAGAGTCTCAAAATCCCATCTCAAGTAATCCTCCTGCCTCCACCTCCTGTGCCACTAGGACTACAAGTGTGTGCCACCACATCTGGCTAGAAAAACTACAAATTTTCCAGTTGAACAATTAATTCAAAGAAATAACCAAACAGCTGGAAAAGCAGGTCTCTTTCTCCAACTAGCTCTGACCATTTTGTACATACTGAACAAAACACTTGCCAGGTCACAGGCTTAATAAGACATCTTTACATGGAGGTGTAAAAAATTACTTTTTTTTTTTGCATAAATACCATGATACTTTATTGCTTAGTGTTCCTTTGAAAATAAGTTAGCATGTTTCCATGTTATTCTTTTATCAATCATATTATTGACTACAGCATATCACTGATTAACATAAGGTAAAAATATCATCCACTCACATATTCTTGAAGAGAAGTGCTTGTAATATTTTATGAAAACATTTGTGCACATTTTTACTTGATTTAATGGACAGTCCATTTCATATTTTTCTTTAAAATCTACAAATATCTTAATTCTTACCATTAAAACAACTAAAACCAAAACCCAAAACCAATCCCAAAATAAACCCCACCAAAGCACATTAATTTTATTACAGAACATATATTAAGTCACTGAGTAAAGCTCTTTTTTATGAACACTTTTGGAAAGCTTGCATTCAGTTCTAGCACAGCTCTGTTATCAATCTGCGAACAGAAGGACACATCAAGTAAAGAAAGATCTTTACAAGATTCCAGGAGTTTTCTTAAGGATGCCGGACTTACCATTCTTGTTCCTATTTAAGGAAAACAAAACAAAACAAAAGAACACCTTAAATATAACATTTATATAAAGTGCTAACAATTAATCCATTCATGATTTATTGTTTGTAATGAACCTGAAATAACCCTTTACAAATTAAAATCATTTTTTCAAACATAACTTCATATTGAAATGATTTTGTTAAAAAAAGTAAAAGTTGAATTTTCCAGCCAATTTAGCATCTAGGACCTGAATCTTGCCAATATCCTACCCACTATCTTCATTCCTACCTCCTACCCCTTCAAATCAGCTCCTCCAGACTTTCCTATTTCTGTCACCCCAGTTCAAAATGGTTTTCACCATGCATTTGATGTAAAATGTGCAAGTGCGATGTGACTTCACAAAGTATCAATTGTGTGCACAATGATAACTACTGTGACACTGCTAGCACCCCTGGCTAAAAGTAAGAAGTAACAAAATTACATAGGGTTCCTTTCTGATGAACGCAGTAGGGATACAAAAAATCCCACAGTTGGAAAAGATTTTCAATAGATCTGCATGGGGTAGAACTATTCCTAAACACTAGAATTATCAGGGATAAAGATTTCATAATATTCCTTAATCAAGAATTTTAATTAAGAAACTTAAAAAAAAAAACTAGCTTGAATTCATTATACAAATGAATCAATTTCTTTTCTCTCCTTAATAAAAATAGAGAGCACAGCTCACGTAAATTCTCACTCTTCCAAGTAGACCAAGAATTAATGGTTAGAGTTTTTGATAGTTTCAACTATAAAACTCTGTTACTGTCCTCACTATTTTATTAAAGTAGATATATAATTATTCCCTAAATTAACTGATCTATCTTGCGTTTCCTATCAAACCAAGCAGTCTTATCAGGAAAAAATTTTTATTGAACCCAAAAATTTTCTTTCTCCTTACAAAAAGTCTGAGATTGGCTTTTATGTCAAGGAAACAGACATTTAAAACAAATTTATACATTGCATCCTTACCTAGTATGTCCAGCTGCTGTAACCTGGTACAATTACATGCCAATTCTTCAATGTCTGTGTCACATACAGATCTGTTAGCTGTAAGAAAGAGTTTTTGCAAGTGTGGGAGCTGGCGTGCCAGTCTGGTGAAGCACCCGGTGCTGCTCTGCAGAGTTGGGCACCAGCCGAGGTCAAGTTCCTCCAGAAGTGGACACCCAGAAGCCAGTTCTGCTATTCCATTCTCAGTAATATTCTTACATCTCCACAGATCCAGGGTCCGGAGTTTTTTACACTTGGCTCCTATCATGCTAGCTATCACATCATAGTCTTCAATCTGGAAATCAAATTCCAATCTTTTACATGTTATGCTCAGACATGCAAACTGTTAAGAGTAAGTCAGATTCTTAATTACAACCTATTGCTTTGCTCCCATTTAAACAAATCCACATCCTTGTTAATACAGATCTGCCCACTCATCTCACGGATCTGCCACCGTTTCATAAAACAGCCAGGAGTACTCATTTATTTAAAAATCCATTTAAGAGAACTCCAGACAGAAGACGTTAATGAATTAAATCCCAAAGCAGTCTGAAGTCTTTGGTCTCTCATGAAGAATTAAAGGATTATGTGTTCTTCTTTTATGCCCACCATTTCAACCTTGCTGCTGCTACTCATTGACAGCACCTACTTTCTTCCATGTTATATATGGCTAATATACTTTGGCAGGTATATAAGAGCTCCCTGATGTGCATCTTGTAGGCTCTAAAACACTATGTGGAAATGCTGATAATACTAATAAGGATACTAGTTTTGGGTTAAATGAGGCATTTGGGGACTGCACATACAACATGAAAATAATGTAGATTACATATGTTAATCAACAGTCAGTTATTGGAGGTGTCCAGTGCTTACCTTATGATTACAGGATAAGACTCTACTAATCAAGGATTAAACATTTCAGTTCTTGGGCTTTATATGCTTTAATAATGTTCCTTTAAATAGGTTATTTTAAGAGGTTCATTTGATTTTGTTAAAATCAGATATTAAAATTATCACAAGAAATCAAAAGGAAACAAAATAGTAAACAATTACACTGATTATTTCCTTTTGTTCTTTTGTTTAATTGTATTTTCAACAAACATTTATGCACCACTCCAGATGCTAGGACCAGCAGTAAACTGAAAAAAGGAGAATATTGTCCACATTTTTGGGAAAGACACACAGACTAATTAAGTAAGGAAAAAATACATTCAAAGAGTGACATATGGTGGGAAAATAATAAAACAGTGATGTGAGAGTGATCAGAGTGTAAGGGGTTGACAGAAGAGGTGGTAATTGCTCAAATCTCCAGGAATGAGGTTGATGCATTCGAGGAACAAAAATGAGATCCATATGGCCCAAGGGCAGAGTCACGCAGTGGCCAGGCCATTTAGACCATGAAGGAGTTAGATTTTTCTTTCAAGTACTAAGGAAGTCAATGGAGGGTTCTAAGCAAAGGAGTGACATATTATTATTGACATAAAAACCGATGCAAAACCACCTCTGGCTTCTGTCTGGAGGATGGGCCGATGGTGGGGAGGGACAGAGGAGGAAGCTGATTGAGGAGGCCTGCAACAGTGTAAAGGACAGATGACACAGGCTTGGATTAAGGTAGCAATGGTGGAATTGTAGAAATCTGATAGATTTGGGGCTGTATTTTTGAAGTGGAACCAAAGGCTGACAGATTAGATATAGGGGTAATGATTTCTAAGGTTGTGGATGTCAGTGTATGTATGGTGGAATCATGCTGAAGTCCACGAAAACAAGTTTGGGATTTCTTTCATTGAGTATACCTGAACAATACAAAACTGTGGGTTTGATAATCAGGACAGCCAATTAGCTTATTTAGAAAACAAAAAATTAAAAAACTTTCTGAAACCCATGATTCTGATTGTGCCCAATCTGTGCCTGGCCAATCTCAGCAGCATTTGAACAAATTCTCTACCAGCAGAGAATACAGTGAGAAATTCCCTCAAAAGTTTTTTGTTGTTGTTGTGAAATTTTCACAGCACTACTCATGCCAAATTCAGGGCTAGGAAAATAAAAATGAAACTAAATACTTTTTACTGGAACAAAGGCCACCTATCCCTCCTTTATTAACTACAATTCCTTCTAAATTTTAGATATTATGCAGGACTCCTTTTCCCCCCAAAATATTAGACATACTTATTTTCTTATTCATTATCTAATTTTAAAAACAGGGCAAATGCCACAGAGGAACCATCAGCAAGAATTTAAGGGACCTGACTAGGATCACATAATTAGCAGGAAACTTAAGAAAATACCAGGCAGGTCTTACGATTCCTTAATTTAGGCAACTTTAAATCACTTCAATCAGCACTATATAATAGTGAAATTTAAACTTTTTAAAGTCATTTTTTAAAAGTATAAAGAAATAGATACATTTTGTCTCTTTCTCAATCAAGAGAAAAAATAAGTATTTCTAAGGAGTCCTAAAAAAATGTTTACGGCATTGACTAGAATATTCAGGTTTATTACAGGTGAGACACTACTCCTCAGAAGTTCTTGTCACTGCAAATCTAACTGGCACTTGTGGTACAAAGATTAGTTTCAGAAAAAAAGTGACACAACTAATTTAGTATCTATATTAAACTCACTACAGAGAAAGTATGCCATGAGGTGAATACTCAGCAAAGGTATGTAATACACCACAATCACCATGGCAAAGTCAACACAGTGCTCTATGTGTGTATACTGTGAACAGTTGCTTCATAAATATCATAAATCTAAAAACTGCTATTATATTGACAGTTAACAATAAAATGTAATATAGAAAAATGAGTTCAGTAGTCAGGCAAGGTTTGAAAACACTGGTTTTAGTAAAAGTAAACAGTTTCTTTGTTGTAGGACAAACCACTGTAAAACTCTAAGACCAGGCTGGAGTGCAGTAGTATAACCATAGCTCACTGCAGCCTCGAACACCTGGGCTCAAGCAATCCTCCTACATCAGCCTCCAGAGTAGTTGGGACTATATGTGTGAGCAACCATACCTGGCTTCGTAATTTCATTAGGAATCTCCACTCCACTCCCAAATACACAGCCTTTAAAACTGATTATCCTTTAGAGCTAATTTTCCACATGTCAACTCTGGAAAATGCTAACTTAAAATAATATAATTCCAACCATACGCATATATATAATTCCAACGGTAAAGCATCTATGGTCAGAGGCTTGATTTTCTAAGGAATGTTGCTCCAGTTTAAGGGGAGGTAAATAACAAGCAGAATATGGTACGTCTAAGCAAAGTTAAATGGTCCTTACCAATCTAAAGAGGGCAGGCTAGCAATAAGGAAGATCCAAGTGGCAGTAACTGGCTGGTTTGTTGTGACAGAAAAGGCCATCAAATGTCACCGGGCCCATCAAGAAGAGTCACTAGAGAGACCCACAGAAGCCTATCAAATGGCTTACTATGGAAAGAATTTGACCAGAAGTGAGGAAAATCTAGTGGGCTCCCAAGACTGTTTCTAGAGACTGAGATGACCTGTGCCCATACTTGGGGTTTAATAAAACCTAACCACAGAATTTTAAAGACCATGGGGACACGGAGATAAATATGTCATCATAAGAGGCCTATTTAGTCTACACTGCCAAATCCTGGGGCATTTCTGAAGCCAGGCTGAGCTCTAAGAGGTGTTCAAATGGGACTTATTTTAGGTCAGGGACACTGTCTATTGACTCTAAGCCTAGCATACCAGTTTTCTAGAATCTTGCAATCATTTTGCTTATTCAAGTCTTCCTACTAAGTGAATGCAAGGCAAAACTGGAATGGTCTGGGGATCTCCTAAACCTACATTGTTTTAGGAAACAGAGGACGAATGAGGAGGAATGAATTCTTCCAGTCAGTTACACTGAAAGATTCACTTACGGCATGTGTGCACACACACACACGCACATGCACACCTTCTCCACATAAGATTTCTATTGTCCTTTACATCTCAGTATTATTTAAAAGCTATGTAATTATGTGGTTAGATTAAAAGATTTAACTCTTCCCATGAGCTCTTTCAAGGTCACATAAAATCATATTTTAAATCTGGAAGGACTTTAAAGTTTATCTAGTCCAACAGTCCCTAAGCTTTTAGATTTCACAGACCAGTAAAATTTCCACACACAAAAAAAGAGTTCCAACATAGGGTGTTAATCTTTCTGTTTTGACCAATAAGGACAGTAAAACAAACACAAAAACAAACAGATAAAATAAACTTATCTATTATCATTAAAATTTCAAGAAAATTATCTCAGGATTTAAAAGCTAAAATAAGCTTAGTGAAAAACTTACTAAACTATTGGCATTTGGGTATGACTAACATCTTAGTGTGTGAAGAAACCTAAAAAGGTGATTAGCTGTCGGAGACAACACCTGGTTTGAGGCAGAACTATACTATATTCCACCACACTATACTTCTTTCTTTGCTCTCCTGGACAAATAACATCAGTGTTTCAAAGACATACTTTTGAAAGCAAGGGACAAAGAAGAGAACCATAAATCTGAAAACCTGTGGGTGTGTATGGGGCAGGGTGAGTCAGGATATATTTCACCCATAGGAAGAAAAAGAGAACAAGTAACTGAGAAGTATAAAGAATTCTCAAACACTTACCATGACACAACTGCCCAAACTGAGGTGCTGAAGCTCTGAACAGAAGTTCAAAATGCTGAGCAGTGCTGTTTGCTGCCATTAGGGACCACATCAGAGGCAAATATGGAAAGTGAATGAAAGTGAAACAAAGAGAAGAGGTCAATTAGACATTAAAGGCTGTCACTGCTTTTCCTGAAATGCAGCTCAAAAGCTAGGTTACAGAGTCCACAAATGCCATTTAATGAGTCCCCAGAGGCTCCACCATTGATTGGCTTGGAGTCAAGGTAATCATTACTAGTCTCCATTTAAGTCGTCACTTTGTATATGGTTTTGGATGCCCTAAAGATACCTATATTCCCTATGACCTCTCAGTTCATTTCCCAAAGGTAAGCAATTTGAAAGTCTGGCTAAGATTGAACACCAAGACAAGCTAAACCACTCCTCCCTCCACAAACAGAAACAAAAAGACAAAAAACCCACAGTAGGCTGGTGACACTCCTGAAGAACAGCTGCAGCTCTGACATTCACTGATCAGCTGCAGCCTGATGGAACTGCCAATAGAGTCACCCCAAATCAGGATTGAGCTGGTGACTTTAATGTCAAAGGATTCTCTTTGCTGACAAGGATACCAACAACCATTGAGCACCTGTCAGTAGCAACATGCTGACTGAAATATATATAACATGCACTTTCTAGTCATGTTCCTGCCATTTAAGCCCATCTATCCTGTGCAATGAAAACGGTCTCACCACTAAAGAAATCCAAAGACTGCTACATAATCATGGCACCGTGAAATGTTTTTAAAAACATGTCTGCCTTGAAAAACTGTGAAAAGCAAAAAATGCAAAATATTCAAATTTCTAATTTTTCTTTTATCAATTAAGGAGAAAACTATTCAAACTTACATGGCAAAATATCTTATACAATTTTAATATATTTAAAAATCAAGATATTATACAACTTCTGTAAAAATCTATTCCAAGTGTTCAGAAACTAAAAAGTATCAGTTGAGGGAGAGGTGAAGAATGTGTCAATGAAAATGTAAAACATTTGGTCAAATCCCAGATAAGATTCTCATTGAGAAAATAAAGTAATAAAATATTTCTCATAATGTAAGGTTACTTAAAGCAAAAATAATAATAGTTACAATAGGTCACAGAGCGCTATTATACTTGTCTAATTATTTCATCATTGAGCATTTCTTTGAATTTAAACAAAAAAAGTTTATATTGATTTTATACTTAAGTTTCAACATAACATTTGTAAAACAATCCCATGTAGCTCTCAGAATGGTAACATTAGAAAGAGTATATAAAGATAATTTAATTTTCAGGTTCTCCACAATACTTAGCCATGTGAACTTATTAACAGATAGGAACATAACATTAGGTTTTTTTTTTTTTTTAAATTACAGGACCACATCCATATTAAAAGGTTGTTTTATAAGATTTTCCCTTAAGTAAGATCCAGAGAATATTAGATTTTTTAGAAAGAATCTCATAAATTTTTGTTGGTAAGAAATTTTAAATTAAAAAAAAATACATACATACACACATACAAATAATTCACAGAACTTGTTTGGTAATTTATTTTTAAATTACTTACTATGAAGAATCTCAAATACACAAACAAGTATAGGTTCCAATATAACACCCATGTAGCCACCACTAAGTTTTATCTTAACATTTTTTCTTAACATTTCGACATTCTTTGCTTATCCGGCTACATTCTTGCTTGGCTCCATCCATTCACATACTTCCTCAGAGGTAACCTTTATCATGACTTGGTGTTTAAAACATGCTTGAAAGTATATAATTTTACAATACATTATGTATCCATAAGTAGCACATAATACTGTTCTATATAGTTTCTATATAAATGCTATTACAATGTCAATATACTTCTGCATCTTCTTCATCAGTGTGAGGGACCTGTCCATGTAAATACATATAGCTCTAATTCACTGATTTTTAATGAAACTTGTTTGGTAATTTATTTTTAAATTACTTACTATGAAGAATCTCAAATATACAAACAAGTATAGGGTCCAAAAGAACGCCCATAATAACCATGTAGCCACCACTCAGTTTATCAACTCTTAATATTTTGTCTTCTTTGCTTATCTCACTACATTTTTGTATCCCTCCATCCATTCATGTACTTCCTCAGAGGTAACTTTTATTAAGGCTTGGTGTTTAAAACATGCCTGAAAATACATAATTTTAGTATATGTTATGTATCCATAAGTAGCATATAATATTACCATTAGAAATTGTTGTATAATATTCCATTATGCAAATATATTACAGCATACACTCTCATTTGATTGATATTTAGTTGCTTACAATTTTCACCATTACAAACAGTGTTATAATAAACATTCCTTTACATGCTTCCTTGTGCATTTATAGAACAGTATTTCTCTAGAGCACATACCAGAAGGAGAATTTCCAGGTGTTTACGTATTCTTTGACTTTATTTGGCTTTGCAAAATAGCTCCTCTGAGTGCTTAAATCAACCTATTCTCCCATCAGTAGTGTAAGAGTGTTACATTCCCACATCTTTATCAACATACATAGACTTTTCATCCTTTTACATGTCTGCCTGTCTGATGAGTACGGAATGGTATAATTTGCATTAGTCTGATTACCAGTGAGACTGAAGATCTTTTCATATGTTCATTGGCCATTCATATTTCCTGCTATGTAAATTGCTTCATCACATCCTTTGCTGATTTTTCTTTCCATTGGGTTGTTTCTTCCTTCTTGACTTTTGGAATTCTTTATTCATGCTGGATACCAATCTTTCTCAGTTATATCAGCTATAAATACCTTCTCTGAGGCATGTCTTTTCACTGTTTACTGGATTTTCTGAGACATGAACATTTTAAATTTTAATATGACTATATTAAATGTGGCATTAATCCTTTTCCCCCTTATGTTTGTATTCTGTTGTTTTTTTCCAAAAAGTTCTTCTTTAGCTAAGGAAGAATCTAAGATTCTTCTTTTTTAAAATCAGAGTTTTAGAGTCTTTCTTTTTTGCACTTAGGTTTTTAACCCAACTACAATTGATTTTTATATGGTAGGATATCAAATTTCATTTTCCCCACATTGTTCCAGTTTGATTTACTGAAGACTCCATTGTATCCACTGATTTGTAATGCTTTCTATCATATATAAGGTTTCCATATATGCATGAGTCTACTTCTGGGTCATTTTGTTTCACTGGTCTATTTTCCATTCCCTGTACCAACATTTCTGTCTTAATTATTATAGTTCATAAGTCTTTAAATCTAGTATGGCAAATAGCCTTTCCTCATTCTTCAAACATCTCTTAGCTGCTGTTGGCCCTTTGCTCTTTCATGTGAACTTTAGAATCACCTTAAAGGTTTCAGTTTTTACCTTTTAGAAATAATACAAAAAGATTAATTTTTCTTAATCTCCTCTCCATGGTCATTAGTTAATTTACTAGCATTTTATCAATTTCTGTGTCATAATTTTTTTTATATCTGATACTTCCTTACAGAATTTTTCTTTTTGTTGAGAAATATTTTTAGTCATTCTGAGTGTCTATGGGTCATAAAATTTTAACAACAAACATTTATTGAGTACTTATTAACATGTCAGGCAGCATTGCTGTAAATTCTTTACATACATAAATCCTCACAACAATCCTATTAACTCATCCGTTCATTTAATAAACTGTTATTGCATGCCTACTATGTGTTAGGCACTTGGGATGTAACAGTGAACAGAAAAGTTAACAGCCTGTAAGGTAAATATTGTTATTTACCTATCCTATCATTATAAATGGGGAATCAGAGTGACAGAAAGTTAAATAACTTAGTTTAATATTTACCCCCAATCTTTTTTTAAAAATAAATTTTATTGTGCATATTTGAGATTTGTCCTCAATCTTGAATGAAAGTTTAGCTAGACTTAGAATTTTAAGATGACAGTTACCTTCTTTCAACACTTTGAAAACATTACTCCATTGCTTATCAGTCTCTTACTTGATAAGAAGTCTATTGTCAATCGAATTGTTTTCCTCTGCAGGTGATATATCTTTTCTCTCTGATAGCTCTTGTCCCTTTATTTTTGATCTCCTGCAATTTTATCACAATCTGTCTAAAAATTTATTTTCATTTATTTTGTTTAAAACCCCAAGTGCCCATTTTGATTTGAAGACTCATCTCTCTCTTCATGAAAGATGATGATTCTAAACATTTCTCTCTTCAAATGTTACTTCTCTACCATTCCTTCCATTTTTTTCTTCAGTAACTTCTATTCTATGAACACTGGAGTCTCCTAGTACCAGCGGTTAGAGTGGTTTGAAAAATATGTCCACATGTTATTCTATACGCTTTCCTTCCAGACGTAGAGCTTAATTCTTCTCCCTTTGAGAGAGTGGGCTTAACTTAGCAACTCACTTTTAACAAACATTATATTGTAGAGGTGATACAGGTCACTTTGAATATTACATTTATGATAGTTAATTTTATGTATCAGCCTTACTAGGCCATGGGGTGCCCAGATATTTAGTTAAACATAATTCTGGGTATTTGTTTGTTTTTGAGACGGAGTCTCACTCTCTCCCCAGGCTGGAGTGCGGTGGCATAATCTCAGCTCACTGCAACCTCCGACTCCCTGATTCAAGCGACTCTCCTGCCTCAGAATCCCGAGTGGCTGGGATTACAGGTACGTTTCACCACACCTAGCTAATTTTTGTATTATTAGTAGAGACGGGGTTTCACCATGTTGGCCAGGATGGTCTCAATCTGCTGACCTCATGATCCACCCGCCTCGGCCTCTCAAACTGCTGAAATTACAGGTGTGAGCCACTGCCCCCTGCCAATTCTGGGTGTTTCTGTGAGGTTGTTTTTGGATGAGATTAACATTTAAATCAGTAGACTGAATAAAGCACATTGCCCTACCTACTGTGGGTGGGCCTCATCCAATCAGTTGAAGACCTGAATAGAACAAACAGGGTGACCCTCCCTCAAATAAGAGAGAACTCTTCCAAATTCAGGAAAAAAACAATGTCTGATGGTCTTCAAACTGGGACACTGATTTCTTCCTGAATTTGGATGTAAA